CACAATACCCTTCTATTACTGGTGGAGACCTTCCAAATCTTATTCCATAATTAATGGTGCCTTTTAAGTACTTGACCAATCTTTCTAGAGCTGTCCAATATTCCTGACTAGGACACTGGGTGTATCTACTTAATCTGCCTACTGTATAAGCTATATCAAGTCTTGTACAATTTATCAGGTACATAAGTCTTCCAATAATTTGGGAAATTTTAGGTAGTGAAATACTATGTGAATTGTTTTTCTTAAGTTGAACATTTGCCTCATAAGGTGTCGACATAGGCTTACTATCATAATATTCAAACTTTTTCAAAACTTTTTCCATATAATATTCTTGAGTCAAAGTGAAACCATCTGTATTTCTAAGGATTTTAATCCCAAGAATTACATCAACTTCTCCCAGATTCTTCATATCGAATTGAGAGGATAAAAACTTCTTTGTTTCACTTATTACTTCAAGACTAGGGCTCAAGATGAGCATATCATCCACATAAAAGCAGATAATGACATACTGATGATTATCAAATGTTTTAAGTAAACACACTTATCTACATCATTTATATAATAACCATTGGATAACAATGCATTAACAAAATTTTTATGCTATTGTTTAGGCGCTTGTTTCAACCCATATAAACTTAATTAACTTGCATACTTTTGTATCATTTCTTGTACGATAGTACCCTCAGGTTGATTCATATATATTTTTTTATCTAGATCACCATTCAGAAAAGCTATCTTGACGTCCATTTGATGAATAAATAAATTATGAATTGCTGCCAAAGACATTAAAACTCTAATAGAAGAGATTCTAGTTACAAGAGCAAAAATATCAAAGAAATTTATGTGTTTCTTCTGGGTGAACCACTTAGCTACCAACCTAGTCTTATACTTTTCAACTGAGCCATTAACTTTAAGCTTTCTTTTGATGATCTACTTACAACCTATAGGTTTAACACCATATGGCAAATCAACCACCTTCCAATTATGATTGGATATGATAGAATTCAATTCAGAATTGATCGCATCCTTCCAAAATGGTGCATCTCTGGAGCATATTGCTTCATTATAGGTAATTGGATCATTATTCAAAAGAAATGTGTAAAAGTCATCACCAAAATTTGTGGATTTTCTCTCTCTTTTACTCCTCCGAATTTCTACTTCATAATTTTTGGGATTTTGTTGTGAGTCTTCACAAACCACATCTTGTGAGTCCTTATGAACCTTAAAATTTTCAAAGCTACTTTTCATAGGAAAAATATCTTCAAAGAAATCAGCATTTTTACTTTCAATAATAGTATTTTTAGCTACTAGATTATTATTGCTTTTGTTAACAAGAAATCTACTAGCAGCACTATCTTGAGCATAACCTAAGAACATGTAATCTACAATTCTAGGTCCTATTTTTCTCTTTTTAGGTTCATTCACGTGGACTTTAGCAAGACACCCTCACACTTTGAATTTTTTTAGGCTAGGTGTATAGCATTTCCATAATTTTTGTGTCTTTTCAGTTTTCCTATGGGGTATCCTAATTTCCTTAAGGGTTCTATTTTTCCTTTCAACGACTCCATTAGATTCTGAAGAATATGGAGGAGTGGTCTCATGTATGATGCCATGTTTATCACAAAAATCCTGAAACGGATTTGATTCATATTCTCCTTTCCTATCTGACCTAAGTCTCTTTATCTTACGGTCAAGTTGGTTTTCAACTTCTGCTTTATATTTCAAAAACATGTCACCTACCTCATTCTTATTTCTTAGAAGATAAACTTTTGTATACCTAGAGAAGTCATCTATAAATGTAATATAATAAAACTTTCCTCCTCTAGACATGGTACTCCTAAATTCACCAAGATCAGTATGAATAAGGGTAAGCAACTTAGTTTTATCTCTAGAAAGAAGTTTGCAAGGTTTCTTTATGGATTTTGTTTCGGCACATACTTCACATTTATCAAAATTGATATTAGCAAATTCAGACAATAATCCACATGCTTTCATCAGTTTTAAGTAATGAACATTAACATGTCCTAATCTACTATGCCACATTTCTAAGGAATCAATCAAGTAAGCAGAAGAAGGTTTTTCATTTATAACATCAAGAACATTTAGAACAAACAGTCCCTGATTACAGTAACCCTTACTAATGAAAGTATCACTCTTGCTTAGCACAAACTTATCAGCCTCAAAAGCCACCTTAATACCAGCTTTTCCCAACAAAGAAACATATATCAAGTTTGAACGAATTTTAGGAATATGCAGGACATTAGTCAAAGAAAGTATTTTACCAGAAGTCAATTTGATATTGATTTTTCCTTTCCCTTTGACAGGAACATGACGAGAGTCTCCCATGTAGACTTGTTCTTCTCCATCCTTGACTTTAGTGTATTCTGAGAAGGCTAATTCATCACCACAAATATGGCGGGTTGCTCCAGATTCTACCACTCAGTTCTTCTCCCCAGCAGCCAGATTGACTTCAGAGACAACAGCCACCGAAAATATCTCCTTGAGCAAAATTTGCTTTTGGAGGATTTTTGTTGTCATCTTTGTCTTTGTTATTATCTTTCATGTGCCTACACTGAAAAGCATGGTATCCTGGTTTGCCACACACATAGCAATTATCTTTACTTTTCTTCTTGAAGGTACCTCCATTAACCTTTAAGTCTTTTTGATTTTTGTTAAATGACTTTTTTGTTCTTATTGAACTTGTTGCTAGGTTTATCTACAACAATATTAGCTTTGGAATCAAATTCATTAGCTAAATTAACATCATGAGCCTTGTTCTTTTCCTCTATATGGATGTGAACAGTCACATCTTCAAGAGACATTTGTTTCCGCTTGTGTTTCACACGATTTTTGTAATAATCTCAGGACTTAGGGAGTTTTTTAACTAAACATCCAGCAACAAAGGAATCATGTAAGGTAATTTCCTCGGTTTTCAATTCACTGATAAGTATATGCAAAATCATGAATTTGAGTGGAGACATCTTTCTCCTCATTCATCTGGAATTTCAAAAAACTGCCTATAACATATTTGTGTACCAGCATCTTCGATAATATACTTGTTTGTCATTTTCCCCCATATTTCATGTGCATTCTTATAGGAGCAATAAATATCGAAGAACTCATTTGATAAGGTAGATAGGATGATATGACGACATACCTTGTTATCTTTCTGCCAAGCCGCTAGCTTTGCTTCATAATCTACCAAACCATTGATGTTTGTGGTTGTAGCATCAGAGTTGGTGACACCATCTTCGGATCTAGCCATTGGACATATCTTTTCTTAAGATTGTTGGCTAAATTGCTTATGACCAGAACAAAGCACAAGGTGTACGAACTGCTGAAGCGTGTAATCACTATCCTTTAGAAAAGATTTCGCCCCTACTCGGTGCAAAAGGTTGTAGTGGCATCTTTCCTCATAGGATTCAACGACAAACAACAAGTTAATGTGCACTCCAATAACCTATTCTACAAATAACAGCAAAGATCTCTCTCTGACAGAAAGATAGAGTTTTCAGTATATCAAAATTGAGGAGAACAAGTCTCAATTTATAGATGAAATTTGAAACTGTATGAAAACCAAAGGTTGAACCAGTTAGGAACACCAAAGGTTGAAAGTGATGGGTAAACGAAAGGTTGAAACGGATGAACAGTTCAGCAAATACAAACAGGCTGAGAATTGAACTTTAGCGAGGGAACAAAATGTTGGGTTTTTCACACACACACGTGAAGGCTAAACCGGAGGATTTGCACCCCCGCGTGTATGCGCATTAAGGTTTTCTGAAACCTCTTACAAACCAGAAGATATTTTGCTTGATGGTCCCATGCGTGCGAGCACCCCCTATTACTTTACTCATCACATTGTCTCTAATAAGTGTGTTTATATATAAACCAACAACATCCCTCCTCTTTTTCCAACGTGGGACTAAACATTAGCCTTTGCGTGTTTGAAATACACAACATTAAGCAACTAATGCTAGTTGGTAGTTATCAGACCTCAAATTTGAGGAAGAATATGTAGTTGATGACTCAGATGCTAGAAGCACTTCCAGATTACAAATATTATAACGTACGAAGGGTTCAACCACCCCTTGAAATATGAGTCTGTTAGGTGTCAAAGATGCTATTAAATTAAAGCACATAAGAGCAAACACTCTACTGAGCTAATGCCAAATGTATCCATAAGAAGTTGTCGCCTAAAAATTAATATTTTCTTTTGCTCTTTGTATTCAAACACTAGAACAGACCGATTACTTTCTCGTATTTACAGAACAGACCAATTACTTTCTCTTATTTATTTATTTATCGTGTTGCTCTTTTATACTTTTTGTTTAACAATCTAAAAAACACGCGTCCGTCCTTACACAGACTTCAACGGTGATCTGTCTCATAACAGTAAAAGCCCCCCATTACATCCAGCACTTGTGGATGTTGTGGCCAATCAAGCTACTTGCTAGGACGATTGTTGCCTAGAAAAAATTAAAAATATAAATTGCAAGATATATAAATATCAGGAAGTTTTGAGCGAGGGAGACGCAGTAGAAAGATTGATGCTTTTCTTCTTTGCCGTGTACTTACTTTTCTTCTTCTGTGATTTCCATAATATCTCGCGCCTCCTCCCTTTCATGTTTAAGGGAATTATTCCCATTCTTTTTTTTTTCCTTTATATCGAAGAAACGCAGGAGAAGTAGAATTGTTATAACTGATTTTAAAAAGATTAAATTAATATCATGTAAAGAGATAAAGACAAGATTAAGAAACTCAACCTTCTCCCATTTAAATAAAACAAAATAAACATGCAAGATCGCAACATTACATGCACGTGAGAAGAATCCACAACCCATTGCACAATATAATAAAATAAAATAATAATTTAGATATTTCGAATCTATATGAACTTCAATCTCCTTAAAAATTAAAAATAAATATCAAAACGTTTGGATCATTGATGTAGACAGTGGGACGTGTACTTTGATAAATCGAGATCATAACCAAAACTCTCCTTGCACTTCAACCTCCTCCATCATTAGATTTTTCTCAAGGAATGTTTCCTCAAGAGTCAGAAATTTGACAAAAAGGTTTTTACATTTTAAAGGAAATATCTCTTAGTAAACAAACACCAACAAGGATATGCACTCATTGTAAGTATATCAGGTAACACCAATAGCGAAAAAAGACATTATTGAATAGAACATACAATTACTTCTCAGTTCATCCTTCTCCTTTGGCTCGGCTGAGGTTCACTTCCACTTCCATTCTCCAAAGTACCAGAGGTCCTCCTCCTACTTCTAACAACCACATCACTCCCACTTCCTCTATTAGCATCCAAAGATGATGCATCATTATGCAGAACAATCTCACCCTGAATCATAGCCATGGTGCTTGAAGTAGATACTTGGCTAGGCGAAGGAGCAGGGTCAACATCATCAGAGATTGTAATTACCACGTTCGCCTGAGGATTTCTCCCTTCTCTCTGGAAAAACCGAATCCTATGAGGGAGATCATTGATCAAATCTTGAACCTCCTGATACAATGCTTCAGTTCTCCCAAACAACGGCGAGCTCTGCAATTGCTGCCTCAAGCTCTCAGTCCTATTCCCTTGTGGCCTCGGAGGAATCTCCAAACCCTCATTATTCCCTTCTTCTCTCTTCGACGAATTTCCTCTTCCATAGATCGGAACTACGTTTGATTCAGTCACCTTCCCTTTACAAACAGGGCATTCTTTGAAATCACAATGGATATGGAGCCATTGATATAAGCATGGCCAGCAGAACAAATGACCACAGCAAGTGACGACAGGCTCTTTTGCCAATTCAAGGCATATGTTGCAGCCAAATTCAGAGGCAGTGTCATTCTTCTCTTTCGTCTTCTCCTCTGACGAATCCTCGGTCTTTGGAGCTTTATCAGCAGCCTTATGCTTTCCAATGGAACCTAAGAATCTTCCAGACCTCCTTATATCACGCATTAGCCTTTCTGGGTCAGTTGAAAGAGGTTCATTACTTTGATTAGAGCCATCTTGGTTTGAACGAGTCCTTGCCATCTCCAATCGTTCTCTGGATTCAAACAATCTATGGAACCGTAGCTCAGGGCATTGAAGGAGATCTTGATGCAATCTGGGCTCACCTGTGCGAGCCAAAGGTTCATTATCGAACATTAGGGATGGCGAATATGGTATCGAATTCAAGGCATTTTGTGGTGGAATTTCATCATTATATGGGGGGAGATCGAAAGGTTCGAATAAGTTTTCAGGGTCAGACATTTCATCGAACGGGTGGAGCGGATCATCAATAGACGGTATTGAAGTGAAGACATCATCCAAAGCGTCGAGGGCAAGGTCGTAACCAAGGTCTACACTTAGAGGAGGAGGAACTAGAGGAAGACCCAAATTCAAACTTAGATCCATCCTCTTAGTTTTGTTAACAAAAATCTAGAGGAACCCTAGTTTGAACTCGAAGACCCGTCATCAAAAAGGGGTCTTTTTAACTCTTGGGAGCTCAAAGGAAGACAAAGAGGAAGACCCAAATCGCCTATTTCAAGCTTCAATAACAAAAAGGCTCAACTTTTTCAAGAATCTGGAGAAGCCCTAGTTTCAGGTCAAAAAACCCGTCACCAAAATCGGAATTTTCTCAACTATTTGAGAAGCAATTTTGGCTGAAAAAGGAATTTTTTATAAAATGCCTGAAAAACGAACTCAAAAAAGACAACTAAATCCCCTAGTCCCCGAACAAAATCCAAAGAATATATAATCAAAATCGAATCTTTTTGCCTTTGACTAGATTGATTGACTAACCCTATTCCAACAAACCCTAATTTCGAGGGAAAGCTGAAGAACCCTAGTTCCAGCTCGAGAACCCATCATGAATCAAATTTTCTCAAATTTCACATAACTTTTGTTTTTTTTTTTTTTTTTGGAAGGAAAGAGCGTAAAAAGAGAAGTGAAAGAAAAAAAAAAGGAGAAAATCTACCTGGTTTTAGTCTTTTGATTTGCGGACGCACACAAACACAAGTGAGAGAATGAAGAGAGAGAATGAAGACGACGGGATTTTGAATCCCAGAATAAGCCCTCTATTAATTGGGTGGAAAGAAAATTTGATATGAATACATACCCTTTGGCTCATAAATCAGAATATCTGCTTTCTCAGGTAATTCAGCTTCCTCAATTTTACCTTTGATAACCTGTCAAACAAAGCCAAGAAAAAGACGGATAAATAAGCACACGTATAAGATGGTAACAAGTCGAATGAAAAACAAATGTCACTGGCAAATATAAATAATTTTTTTTTTTTTTTTTTTTTTTGGAAGGAAAGAGCTGTAAAAAGAGAAGTGAAAGAAAAAAAAAAGGAGAAAATCTACCTGGTTTTAGTCTTTTGATTTGCGGACGCACACAAACACAAGTGAGAGAATGAAGAGAGAGAATGAAGACGACGGGATTTTGATACTAATTAAAAGTCGGAATAATTAAGTGCACCCTTAAGTGTGCACTCAAAAGCTGACCCAAATGTGTGCTTCTGACACTTGTCAACTGGAGACCGGTGAGACTCTGTGTCCAGCAATAACTTTGGGTAGCTCACTTTCACTTTGTTAACCCAGAGCTTACCTTTTCCTCTCCCGATTGACATCTCGAAGTTTTCTTTTACGCCTCAGCACCGCAAGGTTTCAATCTCATTTTATATTTGATACTCTCGTTCAAATTTTGTTAGATTCTTTTATTAATTTTTTTATGGGATGTTTTCGTAAATTTAAAATCGATTTGTTTAGTTTTATTTTACCTAATTACGATCCCAAAAGTCAAGTATTCTGAATAGCAGTAACTAAGGATGTTAACGGAGCGGATACGGTTCGGAAATGACACTTTTCATATACATATACGCTTTCTATAAACGGATACGGATACAGATTATCTTCGGTAAGAAAAAATATTAACCATATCTCCACTCATCGGAAACGAATGCGGTTCGGATATTTGAGAATCGAATCAGATACGATCACCGATATGAAACATATATTTGACAAATGGATATGAATCGAATATGAATTAGTACAATTATGTATAAATTACAACCAAATGGGTAAATGTATATTGTTGTAGGCTTCTCCTTGCATAAATGTATGGGGACGCGTCCTTGTCAATATGGAAAGATTGTCACAAATGACACTCAAAATGCCAATGCACATGCTAATTAATAATTTGTATAGATCCACGTAGATCAAAATGCAATTTTTAATAAGAAAAATCAAAACTTTCCAGAACTAAGGCCCTAATACCTTATATTTGTTTCACCCACCAATTAAAACATCGATCCAAAATTCTCATTTCCCACTAACATCAAAATGCACTATAACTACTTATCTAAACACTGACTAATAATGTGTGATATACAATAATATTTCCACATACATCTAACTGCAACCGCAAAAACCAGACCTTTAATAGTTGAACAGAAATGCAGTCGGCTCAAATGGGATCAAGCAATTTGTAAAAATAATGCATTTAAAAGATATTATATGCGAAAACCCTAGAAGCTTACCATATTGAGTAACCAATGGATAATCCTCCACATCCAAATTCACGAACCAATCCCAGTCCTTGCCAATCTTGAGCAACAACGCCGCCCCGTGAAGCACGGCCGAGAGCACTGATGATCTGTCGTCGTACGCAAAGTCGGCTTTGTCGATGATGAGGCAGGCGGCGGATCCGACT